ATAGATAGATAGCCTTACCGGTGTCATCCTGACTGCCTGCTTCTCTCTGACCTGTTGCAGAGAGTTGCTGTCCTGTCTCCACCTAAACATATTGGAGGGGGCGGGGCTAAGCTAGAGACCCTGCTGCTCTGTGATGCACTATGAATCATGTTTGGACCAAGAACTATCAAAATAAAAGTTAGGTGATATTTCAGAATATATGCATAAAAAGAAGTCTACCTCCAGGCCGTTCAAGTGGTGAGCTGTTCTGCTCCACTTTTCCTAACCCTGTGTTTAGGCTCCAATAAAGGCAGGTTTATCTACGGCACATCTCAGTAGCAGCACCATTCATAGTGGTGTACATAGAAAAAAGAGACATAATAGAGAGACAAAACAACAGAGAAAAGCAGCCTGCTATGCAGTGGCATAAAGGCGATCAAATGATTAATAAAATCAAATAATTAAACTGAGAGAATGTAAATAAAAAATAAATGGTAATTTAGTTTTCAAAGTCAAAGGCCACTCTAAACAAACACATTTCACATCTGGATCTAAAGTGGCTTATTGTTTCAGTAGTTTTAGTTCTTTCAAGTTCTTTCTAGATCAGTGCAGCATAAAAATGTCAAATCCTTTATTTTAAATCATTTCAATCATAAATTAATTTTCCAATCATTACAGTGAAACATAAAAAAATGACATTATCTCAAAGAACTGATCGGCTATGCTGTCAGTGCCCAAATATTAACATTAGTGTTATGTCTTCATTAACTCTCATACGTCCTTTCCTGTAAGCTTAAAAAAACGAGCCACTAGTGTCGTAAAAAAACTCAAAAAAAAAAAAAGTAAAAAATCAATGCGTGTTTGACCATCCTTTAAGAAACCCATACCCAGTTAGAAGGCCATGCTCCTTAATTACATACAAAAAGGTGTTCAACTAGGTTGAGGTCAGGACTGTATGCAGGCCAGTTCAGCTCATCTACACCAAAATCTGTCCTCACCTTCACCAAACTTTACACTTGGTTGAGTACAGTCAGACAAGAACTGTTTTCCTGGAACCCAGCAGGCTCAGACTCCTCTATCAGAATGCCAGATGGAGAAGAACAATTCATCAATCCGGAGAAAGCATCTCCGATCCTCTAGAGTCCAGCAGCCGAAGGCTTAAATACTACTGCATCTTTGCTGACGTATGTATGGCTTTCCAATAAGCTCTCTATGCACTGTTCTGGCTGAAGGTGACATAAAGTTAGGAGGTCTGTAGAAGCTTGCTGACCCCTGCACAGTATCACAGGTCACGCACTGCTCCATTAGTTTAGGTGGTCTAGCGTGGCCAAGCTGCCGTTGCTCCTGATCACTTCCGCTTGGTTTCACAGTAACAACGGCTGACCATGGAACAGCGAAGAACACATCCATCACAGTAACACAAAGGATTGATTTTGTAATCATGTGACCATGGAGATTATTTAAATGGGAGATTAAAAACCCTTTGTCAATATGGAGTAATTTCCCTGGAAAGAATTTGTGTTATAAACTGATAATCTTAGAAATTAGGATAAAGCAAAAATAGTCATGGTCCCAAAGTCTCAAAGATGAAAAAGGATGAAAGAGTTGAACATGATGCTATGCTGCTGTATTTAGAATGAGATAGCTCTGCCCACGGCAAATTGTAACAACGGTTGAAATAACCTCCAGTAGCGGAGACTCTTGTTGGCAATACTACATAACTTTTTTTTTTTTCTTGTAGTTGAATATGATTCAATCTAGTGTCTCTATATGGATGGTTCACCAGATCATCCAGTCAGATTGGTTCAAAGTTTTCTGTCTAAGGAAAACCAGCCAATTGCATCCTCTCATTGACTCTGCAGGATTCATCCTCCTGGATGAACATGCAACCACAGTAGATATAAGGGTGTACTGTGCTGTTGACCCTTTAGCAAATCCCTCATAGAAAGCATGCATACAACAATGGAAAAGAAAACTCTTTATTAGCTGGAAGAAACTTCCAGGTGAAGCGGGTTCAGTGTGAGCGTCCTTCTGGTAAGAACATCTGGGACACAAAAAGGAACATAGAAGCACAGATTCAGGAGAACTTTCAATTTGAAAGGAAATAAAACGTTAGCTGTAGTCATAGCTTAATTGATAGCGTCATCTATGAGAGAAACCCTACTGAGACATGGGGAGTAGTCAAATACAGATCCTAAGAGGAAGCAAGACTCTAAAAGAAGGAACATGTTAGTGACGCTATTTTTTGACAATTTGGTGCATTTCTTTTTTGCAGCAATGTCAACAGTGGGTGGTGAGGTTGCTTGAGGACCCAGATGCAGAGACAAGTGAAGCAGAGATGAGTTCTGAGAGGTTTAATTGCAGACCAAATAGCAGCAGAGGCAGAAATCCAGAAATCCAACTTAAAATATAAAACAAACCAAAATCATGGAGACATCAGGAGAAAAAGGAGTCTGAGGAGCCGGGGAGAGACGAGCAGAGTAGACAATACAGCAACAAGAGAAGGAACCAGCACTGAGTGACTGCAGAGGAGGAGTATTTAAGGAGAACCAAACGAAAGGATGGACTAACGAGCTGAATGGGGAGCAGGTGTGGGTGGAACTGGCAAGAGGGAATCCAAGGGGAAAGAAAACCGCCACAAGGGGGCAACAGAGAGTAACTAAAGAATGCTTGAAGATCATGGAAAATAAAAACAAAACAACTGATAACAGAAAACTGAAAACTCAGAGTCACAACAAATAAGAACCAACAAGCAAGGGTTTAACAGATTCCAATTCTACATATTACTGCTCTTTTTAAAGGTTCTTGCAGTCTAGCAGCACTTTGTGCAGTAAATCTTTTCATTTCTACACTTAAAGGCTTCTATGGTCACACTCAGGAGGAATCTTTTTTTATTACATTATATCAGACTTATGAGTGTTATGTGACTGTGAAAAGACCTGCGAGGTCATATTATCTGCTCCTCAGGTTTAAGTCTTCCTCAGAAACACAAGATGATCAAACAGTTTAAAAAGACTAATCCCCATCAGTTACATACAGCAGATGATCTGCTGCCATCTGGGAGTTTCTCTTCCTCCAGAAACAAAATGAACCGGTTTTAAGTCTAAATAGACTTTAGATTAGCGGTGCAACTAACGATTATTCTGCAAATCAATTCATCTGCCCATTATTTGATTTATTGCTTAATATCTAAAGATTCTTTAAAGAAGATTTTTTACTAAATTGAACAGGTGAAACTAAAACTTTTCCGCTTTAGGAGTTTTGGATAGAGCAAACTGACAGGAGAAAATGTTTTATTGTCTTAAAGGCAAAATGTTTACATATTTTCTTTTACAATTTAGTAAAATAGCTGCTCTAAGTGTGTAGCTCTGTCAGCTAAAGACACCCAGAGTCTCTTTACTCCATCCATCCATGTTCTGACATGCTTAATCCCAAGTGGAGTCCTGAGGGGTGCTGGTGCCTCCAGCTGTCTACGGGTGAGAGGCGGGGTTCACCCTGGACAGGTTGCCAGTCCATCGGAGGGCTCTCTATACTCCAGTTAATCATTAATCAGTTACTAAATTAGTTAACGATTATTTCAGTAATCAATTAATCTGATTAATTGTTTCAGCCCTACTTTAGTTCGAAGGAGTATTAGGGCCAGGTTAGAGATTCATGACTTTATCCTCGTAATATTACAACTTTATTCTCTAATATTACAACTTTATACTTGTAATTTTACAAATTTATTCTCGTAATGTTACGACTTTATTCTCGAAACAGAAGAAGAAAAATCTCTATCGTGGCCCTGATACTCCGTCGTAGAAATACAGTATTTCATATCATTTTTTAAGAGCCGGTCACAATAAATGGATGCAGTGGAAGTGCATCAGAGTAAGACATCTTCGTTCTTCAGCTATCTTTGTAGAGAGGCAGAGCGCAGCTGTGGAGGCGGCAGAGAGCAGCAGACAGACAGAGGAGCTGCTGAGATCAGACCGCTCCGCTTTTCCAGCCTACGATCATTATCTCACACCTTCCTGAGATGGAGGACAAGGAGGCAGGAGGAGGCCAGGGAGGAGATGGAGGACTCTACCGCTCAGCTAAACGGCCCCGGACCGAGCAGGTGGAGCAGGAGGCCGGGGAAAGGGACCTGGAGGAAGGGGAAGAGAAGGAGGAAGAACCGGGCTCTGCCGACGAGGATGCAGCGGGGAGCGGATGGAGCGACAGCAGGAGCCGGAGGAGCGCGAAGAAGGTCAGAGCAATGCAGCATGGAAGGAAAGATAGAAAGTCACACATGCTGCCGAAAATCATCAGCTGTTTGCGTCACATCACAGATTGATTTGATCCAGAAAAACACTTTTCTAGATTCAGCTGTGAAGAAAGAAAACATGCAGGTGAGGTGAGAGCAGGATCAGAGCAGCTGAAGACATTTGGTCAGATCTCCATCCTCATCATTTCTCACATCATCCACTCCCCTCTCACATGGTCAGCATCTTTGACTTGTTCAAACTCAGCAGGCAAACACTGCGCTGCAAAACATCTAAATCTAGATGAGTCATTCTTTCTTAAAGAGAAGGTAAAATAGACATTTTGTCAAAGGAAAGGCACAATTTACACTTAAAATGAGAAAACAC